CTTCCGGTTTCATCCCTGGCTCTCATGGCTGTTACATAATTCAGGGCCTGGACCCTGAGTCGGCAGAATGTGTGTGATGCTTTGAGCTTCCGGTCTTGAGAAGGATGCCCTGAAGGAGTTCACGGGCTCTTTGGACCCAAGACCACAGAGAAGGCTCACGCCCATCATTCAGCTTCAAGGACAAAAAACGGGCAGTGGATTCCAATGGAGACGCAAAGCTGTGTGATTTCCTGAGAGTTATCCTGCTTTGTTCTTTAATGAGCATCAGCTTTTTACTCTTTTCTATGAGGTTGGGCAAAGTGTCTTTTCTTGGGTCTCAGTTTACTCATTTTTAAGCGGAGACCTGGGGAAGGAGCACGTTTACATTTCAGATACAATGACTTCTAACGCTGTAACGCTAGAGGGTTGTAGCTACTTGCCTTGCATAGGGGATGCCAAAGGGCCTCCGCATGACTCTCCTCAGCCATCCTGGTCAGAACTGGCTCTCAGGCAGTAGAGGGGACTCTCCTGGACTTAGAAGCAGCGTGCTGCACCAACCTCACAGGAAGGCAGGGGCACAGGCAGCCTTGCAGTCTCAACTGCCATCGTGAAAACGGAGCGAACTGCTGAACATGCCTCTTCACTGGAGACCGGCTTGCTAAATATTTGCATTTCACAGGAGCGGTGAAAGAAATCGTTTCCATTCCCATAGGGTCCTATTACATAACCCACACCTCTGCCTGTTTCTCCCTCCTCAGCCCATAAAACTCCTTCCTTCCTTCTGGAACATGGCCTCTGTGGCTCTCCTTTTTGTCCTGTCTTTAGACAACTGGAAAACAGACGAAGACTGTCTACTTTCTGGTGATTTGACTCAAGCGCACAGGCCAGGCATGCGTGAATGGTTGCTAAGAGGCTGAAATATGAGGCAGCCAGGAATATAAACTCAATCCAGAAAGCCATATAGCCCCTGCTCGAAACAAAAATTCATTTCTTCATTTCTGGAGTGTGGTGAGGGCGGGTACTTGGGGTGCACTTACAGCCATTGTGACACACAGTGCTAAAGCATGCATAGTGTTTACATGGTCCCCCATCTCGAGGTCAGTGCTTTTGCAGTGCCAATATTTCCAGTAGATACACGAAAACCTCATTTCCAGCATTTCAGCTCTTGCTTCAAAGGAAAACGCCTCCCATTTTAAACACAAAGCAAGGAATTCAGCACACAGAACTCTCTCAAATGCAGAGTGACAGCTTGCATGACCTTTCAAAATATCAACATGGCACTGACAAATTTCATTTGTCTCGACTCTCCTACAGGCAGAGAGTGAAGATGGTTTTGAGGGGCAGGCTGATTTCTGGGTGATACAATGGTGGAATATATGACTTTGGAAACTATAAAGAGAGGTTTAATAATCTGGGAAATACAACCTCACTTCTTTGTACAGGCAATTTGTATGCATTGACACATAGGTGCATTTC